CTCCTAATGTAGTCCAGGATATCATTGGCTTTCTTGGCTCCAAGGGCACATTATTGACTCATGGACAGGTTGTTGTACATCAGGATCCTCAGGTCCTTCCCTGCAGAGCTGCTTTCCAGCAGGTTGGCCCCCAGCCTATATTTGTGCCCAGGGTTATTTTTCCCGAGGTGCAGGACCCCACATTTGCCTTTATTGAACTTCAGATGATTAAATATCTAACTAGCTATCTATAATTTGATATACTATTACATTATAACATAAATTGTTACAGATTACATATATATTAAAAAGAAGCGAGCAAAAGCTTTCATACCATAGTAATATGATCATGCATATACACAATAAACTAAATCACATAAACTTATTTTTCTAAGTTCTCTGTCTCTTCTTAGACAGAGACATTGTATGCTGAAGTATGCACTTTTTTTCCTATCTCGACAGTGCTATGAAAAGATGATAGTTCAAAATATAATTAGTAATATGTTACCTTTATGCATATTGAGAGGAGTGGGTCCCATGCCTTCTTCCAGTAGCAAGACTGTGATGTGCAGAGCTGTGCTATGACTGGGCTGGACCTACACCTCAGAGGGAACCATAACCCTGTGCACACTGAGCCCAGGGTGCTGGGGACCTGATGGATTTCCCATGCACACACCCCACACTTACCCCTCAAATAGCTGGAGAAAATGGCAACTCAGGACAGAGTGCCACAACCAAAGCGATGACTGCAGCTCACGTTCAGCCACCTTTTTTAGAGAACTCCTCATCTGGCAGGCTGTCAGACAAATGAATAGGTTCAGCAGAGACAGCTGCTCCATTCCCCGATCAGGCTGACGAGGGGTTCCCATGAAGGTTGATTTTATGAAGTACAATTCTGACAGTCACGTTTAGTCCTTGAATGCTCCTTTGTGGGAAAGGAAAAGTTAGCCTTTCTCTACATTCTCTCCTTTTACTGCTACAGGAGAGATAACATCGCTACACTCATTTCTCAGGTCCAAAGCCACAAAACAGCTAACTCAAAACTGTAATGAATAAATAAATGATAGTTAAATGGAGGCTACATGTTGCCTGTAATCTAAGTAACCTGTTTGTTACAAATAGCATCATAAGGGGAGTGGTGACATAGAGTGTTTGCTGTAAAGGAATTTGAGAAAGGCAACAGCAGACACTGAAACATTGAAGGTGTTATTGGAAAGCTCAGCTGAATTAATGTTTGTTTGATCTGGCAAAGGTTTGTCACTAAGCTGTTTATTATTAGCTCTGACTTGTCCATCACCTCATAAAAGTCAGCTGAAATTAAAATGAAGCTATGTTTTTGAAAGTATTTTTTAATAAAGAACAGAAAATAATAAATAAGAAAAATGGTCAAACTAAAAGTTAAAACGGACATTGTTTGAAAATAAAAAAGTTAAAATCAAGAAGGCCTAGGGAAAGCTGTGGTGAGAAGCCCAGAGTGGGCCAGGGCAGAGGGAGACTGCTGCCACACTGTGCTGCTCATGTGAACATGCGTCCTCCTCACCGCTTCCTCTCCCAGCCACCATTTTCTGCTCCGCAGTAAATTCTGGTGTGGTGCACCAATGACTGGAGCCTGCTATTACTGTTAATTGACAAAATATGGGTTAAAAGAAAAGAATCTACGTGGCAGCTCTTAGGCAGGAAGGGGCTTGATGGCTTGGGACAAGAACTGGCCATCTTCACGGCCCTGTGGGCAAAGGCCGTGATGCCCTGGGTGCCATCCATCAGACCATATGATCACTCAAACCTACCCTCAGCCAGGCTTCAGCCTCGGGGCCGTCCCTCACCAAATATGCAGGTGCATATGGATTCCTTAACAAAAAACAACTGCCCAACCCCAGAAAAAAATCCAAAAAACCCTCAACCAACCAACCAAACCCCAAAAACCCAAACCCAAAGCAAAAGAAAAAAAGCCAAACCCAAATGCCCAAAACAGGCACACTAATTCTTTAGATGCATCATATACATGCTAAAGAAAAAAATGCAAATAAAGATCAAAATGAGGAGTGTACAAGTGTACAATCAGCAGCAGGGGAATCTCTAGCAGAGAACACACAATGCTACTTTTCAGGCTTAACCAGCTTTGTAATTTTATTTTGATTTATTGCACTTTTTCTCCTATATACTAGGAGTTTTGAGAGACTGTCCAACATTTCTTTAGCATAAAAAGGAACAAAATAGAAACTATCATTTACAAATTAAAATGGAATTGATGAAGTAGAAGGCAGACAAAAGTGGGCAATGGGCATCTAAAAAGGCAACTCATTAGAAATAAATGTTTCTAGAGAAGTAGTATTTTTTAGTTATGTCCAAGTTGTCAAGGAGGCGAGGTCTGGGCCAGCATAGAACATGGATTTGGACGTGTCTAGCACTCATACAAGGGTCATGAAAACAAAGCTTAGCTTCATATTGAGTATTCCAGTAGGGGAAGTGTTAAAGAGGAAGAAAACAGCCTGGAAAAGGCTGAGGTGACCTTGAGAACATCCAAGAGAGAGTGAGGATAAGCTTGGTGGAAATGAGGTGGAGGCAAGAACATTGCTCAGATCAGGTGGAACAAAATTCATTGATAGTGAGAACAGTGCACTACAGAGGGGACAGACTTGTATAACTTCACAAATCTATATCTTCTCTATCAACATCTCCATCCAGGGCAGAGTGTTTTTTTATGGCCAACTAGAATGGAAGCAGCCATATCCCCACTGTCCCCAACAGATCACTGCTAGAATCTACTATGACATTGTCCCCACCTAGAGACCTTCAACAGAAGAACTGAAAGAGAATGACCTAGAAATACTCGGACAGAACAACACATCAGGGAGCCCAATATCCTGTCTGACAGTAAGCAAAACCAGATATTTGCGAAAGGATGCATGATACTGCGAACAAACATTATTGTCTACTACTGTTCAGGCTTCCAACACTTTTGACTCAAGGACTTTCTGAGAAAACAGGGTATTCTATATTTTTGGTGACTTGCCACCAATTTCTCTCCTGTAACTGCTGCAGTTTCCATGTCAGCCCCCAGCATCTACAAGATCCTTCAGCAGGAGATTCCACTAGTCTTTCATTATTTCATCATGATTCACCTTTTTTGTTACAGCTCCCATATTGTCACTCTTCTGTCTTTCCTGTATCACTGAAATAGAGGCCTTTGTTATAAACATAACCCATATGCATTAGTCATATCATTCCATGATGAAGAGCCTTCCTCTATTTTCTGTTGTCCAAAACCCATGTATTTGATCACACTAACTAGCTCTCATGTTTGCTGTTCTGGGTAACTCTTCATCATAGCAATGTTTGTTACCCCATTACTTACCTTTTTCTTCACATCATTTGCAAATACGTCCAAGAGCAAAGTCCCAGCACAGACTGCAGAGTTTAACTGGCATCCTCCCTTCATGGCAAAAGCTATTCACTCCAATTGTTTTGCATCTTCTGACCATGCGATGTCCACATTGTCCCTGTGAGATCCTCCTTCTTAGCCTACATCTACTTAGTTTCATTTGAGGCTATTGCAAGGAATTACAACAAAGACTTCTACAACTTGCTGACTTGCCAATAAACTTTGTGGTTGGTAAGAAAAGACTCCTTCATAAAAACCCTATCAACTTTTTCAAAACATGACAGCTTTACGTGGCTGCTAATTCTAATTAGGTTCTCATTAACCAGTATTTCATGTATCCCACAGTGTCTCATTTTGCTGCTGAAGCCAAACGACTAAGCAACACATAAGAAATTCAAATATTAATTCAAAATTTTTGATATATTATTTAGTTATTAATGATCAAATGCAATTTCTTATGAGCAGTCACAAATGCATTAGTGATTTAGGGAAAATATCTATCTATATTTCCTATAATCACTGTTTCAAGAACCTGCAAAAGCACGCCCATCACCTGAGGGGAAGCATCTAAAAATTACAGTTGCATATCTGTAATCTCTGTGGAGATGTTTATAAACAAAGCCTCCTGTCTGTCTTTTGTCAAACAGTTTGAGATTGCAAGAGAGAAGTTAGCTTTTAACTTCAATTTCAGTTCTAGGGCTATCAATTTCTTTGGCCTGCTGACTCTCCTTCCACTGCATGCTAGAATTCCTGCAGATAAGGAACCTCTGGTATGATGTCCTTGACATTTGATTGCAAATCTTGACTGTTTTGGAGGGGGCGGGGGAGAGGGCTGAAAGGCTTGTCCTCTGCCAGAGGCACCTGGCACAGGCCTCAATATTTCTGCTGTGTATTTCATTGCAGTGAATTGTTTTTCAGCTTTATTTCCCAGAGGTGTAGGCAACTGTGATACCTTGTCTGCCTATGCACGAACGTGCAACAGCAATTTCATAATTAGGTATAGTGCTTAAAAATCCCCAACCTATCAAACAAAACATTCTATCAATACTGTCAGCTCTCAAAGTGCAGAAACTGAACACAGTTCCTTTCCAGAGAAAAAGGCACTTAGTTCAATTAATGGGTTACATATTTAAAGTCTACAGCTACAGATTGCTTTCTATAAAAACTGTCTTTGAAACTGAAGAAGTTTTAGGAAGTAGTCATAACAAGGGAATGGGAAAACTACATTCCAGCGTATTTTCTCCTCATTTTGTATTGGGTTATTTTAGGCTAACATTTTAAGATCTTGTGAGAAGGTAAAATTCTGTGTTCAATTAAGATGTTTTTAAAATTGAAAGCAGTAGCCAGAGATGACACCATATGGCAGAGAATATTTTACATTAAAATATTCATCACAGTAGACTGGCTTTTTACCTCTGCTTTCATTTTCAGTGTTAAAGCAGTTAAAGACTGAACTGACTGAAATACAGTGTTTGTAAAGACAAAGATTTTGGAGTTTAAATAATTTAGTGTAATTTTTTAAAAAATATTATATAAGAATTATAAAAAGTATTACAGGTTTAAGCAAGATTCCTTGGAGCTGTCCAGTTATCCTTCACGCATGGAATTGCTTAAAGAAAGAGTTAAACATTCAGGCAACTTAATTTTTCTTTTTCAAAACTTTATTAGGTAGATGTTACTAGATGACATTGTAAAACCCCTTGTGTGCAAGTGAATGAACTCTACAACGTATGTCTTCCCACAGTTCATCAAATCCACTCCCCCACCCCATTTCTGAATACTGATTTTAAGACAGGTGGAGTGCATTCAAATGCTACTTTACATTCTTCCATTTCATCATGAGGAAGCACTTTTTCAGTCTGTTGGTAACAGGGGCTTGGGAGTCAGTGTGAGTCAAAGGAATGCCTTAAAGAAAACAAAGTACCGTAAGTTTTGTCTTACGAAATTCAGTCTCAATACACCAGATTCATTGCAGTCTTTTAAATGAAACTGCCTATATTGATCATGATTGTATTTAGCAAAGTGAAGCAGTACAGAGACATACCTACTACTGAATACTAGTGAGGTAACATTTTGAAAATAAAACTGTTTAAAAATTCACTTACTTTCAAAAGGTCCTGTCCAGCAGGACAAACATTGGCAGAACACCTTCCCTTGTATCGATGCATGTACATGTGCATATACACCTGTGTCTACTATAGCTTTTTAAAAGAACAAGATTTTAGTTATACATTCATCAGGACAAGTTTAAAGATCAGACATTACTATGGTAGATTCAACAGAAGACTTCAGTGAACCGCCTTCTAGACCTGCTAAATGAAAAGGCACTCTGAAGAGGGTAGCAAGAAATAATCCTTACAAAACATTGACATGAACTAAAGCGGCCACACAGATAGCACACACAACAGTGATTATTGGTATACATTTAAAATACCAACTTGAAGATGAATTATTTGTAAAATATTGCCCAAGACTACCCAATACAAGTTATTACAGCATGAAGACCATTGTTGCAATACTATGCAGCAGAAAATAGAGTTATCAGCTAAATGTAAGACAAAGATAATGGAAAAGCCTTATCAACATTTTGGTTGTGGTGCCTGCTGGTTCCAAGAGAAAAAAATTTCATTTAAGGAAATAACTTGTACAAATAAACAGTAACTCATAAGATTGAAGAAGTATTTTGACATATGGTGTCTTCTGTTCAATGGGTTATAGAAGGACCTAGTTAGTGCCTAAAAATTTGAGAGAATGCTGAAATAGACGTCATTAAGAGTCATCTAAGAGTGTTAATTCACTTAAAATTTTACTGCAGTATGGCTCTAAATTAAACTCCCTATCACTAAAACTTTCAGATATGCAAGCTGAATCCTGATTAAGCACTCCTAGTAGTGTTTAACAGTAACAACTGTGACAGCTGTATTACCAATTTTTCCAGGGTGGAAAACACACCTCTTCTACAGTTCTGAAAAACAGGAATTTCAGGAGAAGAAAAGGTTCAAGGGGATGCTCTTCTTATCTTCATTTCTCCTTCTTTTCCTTCTTGCCTCCACAAATTCTCAGTGGAGGAAATTAAACATAGTAAAACTATTTTATGATCATGAATCTGTAATAAATAGACCTTCTAAGTATCATTTTTCTTCTTAACCCCCATTAACTCAATTTCCTTCTGATAATTACCTTTTACACTTCACTATTTTTTAAAACATAATTTCTACCAGAAGTTCATGTAATTCAAGATAATTTTAGAAAAGTAGCTTAATCTTGGTGCCTTATTTCCAGTAATAGATGGACAAAAGTGGAGTCAATGTTAGTAAGAAAAAACAGGTCCTCTAGAAAATCTATTTCATAAAAGGCAAAATTCCACTGCCTTTTGGGAATTGAAGTAAGAAGAAATAAACCCTACACTTTTCATTTTGAAGCTATCAGAAGATGGCAAAACGAATAATACCTTTTCAGATCATACCTCCCACCCTGCGATGAAGGGGCTGGGCAGAGATCCCAGAGCTGTGCCATCAAGCTTGATTGATGGATTGATTAGTCCATCAAGATATCCACACCAGAGCAGTTACCAACTTATATTAACAGTTCAAGTTGGATACTGAACTGAAATGCTGCTAACCTGCTCGAAGTCCCAATCTAATTATACCACGCTCCTCAGGGCTTCCACCTTCACTAATTGGTGCGAACAGGGACTGTTTGAGCCCTGGAGTTGGAAGGTACACCTATGACAGGCTGTGGTTTACTGCAGTATGGCTCTAACCAGACTTCAGCTGAATTCTATTCTCCAAAAAGTTGCATTTCTTTCAGTGGTTGAAAACTCATGGCTTGTTATTTTGGAAGAGCCAAACTCATTCTAACAACAACATAACATGCATTTGTGCAGAAGTCTGAAGGAAGGTGGGAGTCAGTGGGGGGAGGGGAGCAAACAGCGAGTTAAAAAAACCTCACAAATGAGGTCATAAGAATTAAAATAAGCATGCCAGATTACTTTTTTAATAACTTCTTCACTAACATAACATTTTCCAACTTTCCGAGCAAACCAGTATTGGTTACTTTGGCTTAACGTAACTGTAGGAGTCCACAGAACAGGAATTCCCATATTGCTCTATTGAGGGGAACAAACACCTTTCATTTGTTTCAAGCAATAAGGCACTTACACATTTAAAATTCCTCATTATACAAAACACACTAAATACTAGAATTCAAGTGTTGATTTCATGGACATTACCTACCTCCAGTTTTTATAACTTCTTAGCCATCCAATAAATATACTACAAAAAGTTCCACTCACTGATGTATACAGCTTGTATGAAGCCCAAATGCAGAATTAGAAATTGCTTTCTTAATGAATCCACAGTGTTTCGGCCAGCACCCTAGTTAAGCCAGGAGCCTGTACACTAAAAAGGATGTGATTCATTATCTCACTACCCTCACCACCTGCCATTCAAATTAAACCTATTTTAAAGGGAATTCTTCATCCTAAAATACATAAAAGAGATGAGAACAAGGGAAGATTTCTCACTGAATAGTCATGGAATTAAGAGAAAGTTCAGGTTGCACAAGTTCCTCAGGATACTTTTTTCTTCTTCTCAGCACATATTATTCTCATCTCTACCATAGTGAAAAGAATTAAAGAATACCTTAAAATGTTATTTTATACTCAGATGGTTAGTTATGTAGCAAAGATGACTGTGCTGTTTAATTACATTTTTAAAAAATTGCAAAATTAAAAGCCCTGAAGAAAAAGATTTCAGCATTTTGCATTTAAGTAATTTAAATAAACAAAACTAATCTTTTGCTGGTATAGCTCAGCAAAGCATTAATGAAATGACTTCTTATGAGATCACATTTTCCATGTCCAATTTGATCTGAAGCCATTTTCACAAGTCAGTTTCAACTTATGAAATTTGGAAGGTAAAGGACAGGATTACAAATAAAGTGTATAACAAATGGAAACATGGCGAACACTTTATTATGAGATGGTAAACAAAGTGAAATGTAAATCTACTCCTGTCCTTGAAATTCTGGGACACAAAGTAGCAGAATGTAAATTGATATGAACTCTTAAGAGAGCATTTTTTATGCAAAAACATAGTCTATGACTAAAGACTGAATCCATCTGCTCATCCAGAGCTTGCATAAGGCATGGAAATGTTTCTTGACTGCATCAGCAGTTCTACAGGACAGATTTAAAATATCTCAACCGCTTCTCTGGATTCTGTAAATAGATTTCCTTCTAGAAACGAAGAAAATGTGGCATTATATTACTAACATGCTCAGTCAGAGTACGTTAAAATTTCAAAAATATTGTTTTCAGCCTGACAAATTTTCAACAAGGTGAACACTGGACTGGGGTTGGCATGAAATTTTGTTTAAGAAGCTATGTGCAAAATTCATGTTTATGCTAAACAAATATTTTTACACAATATTTCTCTTCTGACTTTGATGCATCCAAAACACTTCGGATTAATTTTTCAAGTTTTGGTAAGCCAAACAAGCTCCAAAAAAGTTTTCCTTTGGTACAATATTCATACTTTAATAAACTAATTGCTATTATAACTACTCTATTTTTTAAACCAGATATATTTAGAAATAAACAGCTAGAATTATGCTTAGAGATGTATGTATTAATTTTTTGCTACAGAGTAATTAAAGCTTATTCCACATTTTTATGTTTGAAATCAGAGCATGCATTCTAAGATCAGTTTTCTCTTCCCTACCTTATGGTATTTCACTATCAGGCTAAGAGAAACATCAGTGATTAACTGCCTTATATGAGCACTCCGTTCCTTACTGCAAAGAGAACACAGATTCTGAAATCTTACGCAGAGAAAGATAATGAAGAAATCAGCCAGGAACTTAAAGTCTACAAGCAGCTGCATTTGTTAGTTTCATTAAGAAAAAAGTTTGGGGGCATTAAGTACTGCTCAAATTGTAACATAAGTGAAAACACTGCTTGTCTTTCAACTGAATCAAGGCTCAGCCTGTTTTTCATGTAACAGTAGCAAGACAAACCACCAAACAGATCAGCATCATAACTTTTTAAAAATGTTGTGTGCTCTCAAGCTTATGTGTTAAGTCCCCAAAATACTGAACAGTTCACAATACCAATTCTTACATTGTGCTATTATTTGTTACACTGAAGAATGCAGAATTTGAAGATGTTATTTAACACTGTCTGTGGATGTTGTTTCTAATTTTATTAATGACTCAAAGCTTTAAGAAGCTCTCTTTTTTTTTATATTAAAAGCTAGTATTCATTCTCCTGACAATTTGCTCTATTAAGATTGTTGTTTGGAAATTCTTCCCTACTCCTTCCCTCTCCTGCACTTACTAAACACATTGGCATCATTCGGCAAATGAGGGGAGTGGCTCCACAACGATTTGCACTTAAGAGGCGAAACAGATTTTCAAGTTCCTGCACAATGGCTATCAACATGCCAACAAAGTATTTGTGACCAAATCCCATACTGGCATAAAAATGGGTTTCTCTGGTTTAATGGGGCTATGACTGATACCAGGAATGAGGCTGATTCACTGCAACTACAAAGCTGCAAAATTAAAAGAAACTAAGAAATTATCTCTTTAAGAGTTTACTCAGGTAGGATTCTTTCCATCAGCAGAATCATAGATTTAATATAGATTATAAAAGTAACAGTAATCCATGGTTCTTATCCACAACTTGAAACTACATGATCAGCATACGCAAAATTTGCTCAAGAAACAAAACACTGCAACTAAATTAAAAAAACCCAAACCCTCAAGAGTCTGCATGACAAACTATTTGGCCACTGAATATCAAACAGTTTCTCAAATCTAACTGGCAAAAGAAAGCATTTATCACTGGAGAATCTGTATCCTCTGAGAGAATTACTGCCCCACCTACACACCATTTAACATCACACAAGCTGTGACAGTCTTTGGAAGTGCAGAAAGCCCCTTGGCTAAAAAGAATACCTGATGGTGATCCAAAATGCTTTCTAGTTAAATTGGCAATAGTCCCTGCAAATTAATATTTTTAATAAACTTCATGTTGATAAAACTTTTATAATGAATAAATTGGTGTAAAGTAAAAAAACCCTAACATACCAGAAAGAGTTACGAAGTCAGCATTAGTACCATCAAAACCAAACAAAATCTTCCCTTAAGTACACATTTGCACTTCCCTGAAGGAAGATAACAGATCACTCAAAGTGCACTGTATTTTTAATGACATTGGAAAGATAGGAATATGTTGTTTATTACAGAGGTGGTGAGAACTGAAGACTAACCAACTTTTTTGTATGGAACTAAAACTGATGGATCACCTCAGCATGACGCTACTCAGAATTGCCCTTCTGCCTCTCCTTTGTATTCCTACTCAGCTTCTTATTCTCACTGGCTAACAGACTGCGACATAGGGAAAAGCACAATTATTTTCCAGTCGTAAGGTGTTGGATAAGCTCTGCAAATATACCTGTGCCACAGCAGTCAATCATCCAGCCAATGACATGGCTGAGTAGCCCTGAAGCTCAACTCCATTACTGAAATATAACTAAATTAGGTATAATGGAGAAAGTGGAGAAAGGGAGAGGAGCCCCTGCCAGATGGCATGTCCAGCCAGCCCTCCCAGTAGGAGCACACTGCATGGCACCATGGGGAAGGTCCTACCTCCGACTGCATGTCTGTAAGCAGGACTTGGCGCATAGGCAAATCCATTCTCAGGCAAACTTGAAAGAGAAGGCTAGTGTAGAATGGATTTAAGCATTTCCTAGTCTGAATATAGGTATTGGTGAGCAACAGTTTCACACAACAATAAATAATCTTAAATAATAAATGTGGTAAAAGCAAACACAATGACCAGCAATGATCAGCATACAGTAGTGTGAAATCTGCATTAGTAGGTTAATTCAGCTGCGTGACAAGGTTTCTGCTACTAAAGATGGAGTAGAACAGCCTGGTAGTTTCTTTAGAGTAGTTACCAAAACCAAAAAGATGTTTACCCTCGAATTTCCTTACAAAGTTCATTCAATTTATTTCAAACTCATAAATTAATGCTTTTAAAACAAATGTCATGGTTTTGATGTATGTAAGATTTTCTGTAGTGACTTGTTTAAAAGCTAATCTTTTATTGCATGAACCTTTGTACTGAGCTACTTCTCATATTTTGGTTGGTTATGTTACAACATATTGATAAAAACTGTGTTTATGTACTTTTCAAGTGGGAATATTTTTATACAGATGGAAAAAGACTTTCATATCTCTACTCTGTCTGACTCTTGAAAGTTTGTCCCATTCTAAAGAAAAGGAAAAATTATTGTCATTCCCTTTTTTTCCCCACAGAAAAAGATGAGACTTGTTCATCTTTACAAGGTGAAAGATGTCTCTTTTTGCTCTGTATAGAAAATGAAAAACTATTTCCCTTTGATTTAATCTGTTCTGATAAAATCAAAATGGCCTAGATGAAATGATAATGTAGGAGCTGAGTTGTGTGTTCCTTTTCTCCATCCACAAGGACATGCTTTCTGAATATAAATGAGTGCAGATCTATTATGTTCCCTTTTAAGCTCTTTATTCTAGTATCTTAATTTCAAATCTTACTGAACTCCTATCAGAAACTGAAAATGGCAAACACGCCAGAGTGAAAATAGCTACAAAAAGTGTAATAATATCTCACATATTTATACAGAACCAGGAAAAGCAAGGAAATTAATCCACTGTATAGTTAATTACAGATAATCTCAAGTACTAAAATATTCTCAAGTGGAATAGTTTGACACCATGTTACAGACTGCATTGCAAACCCAAATCTATCTATATATATCTTGCTCTCTGAGGTCTGAAGGTTTTTCTAAATAATACAAAAATATCTTCATTATTTGACATTTAAAGAGAGGAATAAAAATCCCTGAGTAAGCCAAAGACAACTGATATGTATAGCCTCAGAAAACACACGCAAAATCAAGACCAATTTTAAGGCAGCTTCCAACCTCAGGCAGAACACAAAGAGAAAACCGATGCATCTCAGAAGAAAAAATCTAATTAATAGGTGGATTTGCAATGACAATAGGTTTTGAATTTTATTTCTAAATGTCATTGCTTCCCTGCTTAATTTGCAAATCTTAGAAAGATACTGCTTCTACTGCTAGGACAACAGGGTCAACATGCACTTAAATTCAAATGGAAATTATTAAATAGTTGTTGACTACTATGATGTGCTTGCACACACTGTTTCAACAAGGAAAAAAAACCAAACCAAGAACATAGAACAAGAAGCTGACAGAAAACAAGCATACTAGCCAACTACAGAAAGCTGATATTTGTGTTTCCAGGTAAACAAAAGTCATCAGCTTCTTCCACTGAGGCTTTGAAGTCAAAATGAGTATCTTACAACAGTATTATCTTGGTGGGGCAGAATACCATTTACTTAAAAATTACAACTGGATTCAGATGTAACAAAGAAAGGGGCGCAAAGTACATCCTCCTACATGATATGCTATTTGCAAGCCTAAATTTTGAAGTCTGTAGACTCTTCAGGACATTTCCCATCTTCCTGCTTCCCCCTTTCCCATATATACACAAACATATACATATATATATACACACACACGTGTATCTTCAAACACATACACTGGAAAAAAGTACCTTCACAGTACAAATTCAATCTTCTTTAAGATCAGTTTGTATTTTTACAGTATAAAGTAGGTATTTTTCTTGATCAGTTCCTTTCTTTGTTTCAGTGTTCTGCCTACACAAATTTATTTTATTCTATTTTTTCTTGGAAATTATATTTGTATGATAAATTTGGGATAAAAAGTGTAAAAATTCTCAGTAGCTGATTCCTAATGCTGAATTAGATTGCTTTTGGGGTGATGGACTGAGAAAGAGGTTTGGTAGCAAACAGTGGAACTCTGAAGCTAGGAAGAAAGAGCAAAGATAGCTATTCTCTTCAGAACTGTAATGCACCAGGAAGACAAACACTAGAAACAGAAATTAAGAATGAAGTGGTCTCCTAAGAATTCATGACCCCTCCCCTTAGCCCAGATTCACAGATTTTCCTCATGAGACATCAGTGGATACTCTAAGACTTGCGCAGCAGCCTACTTAAATGAACAAACAAAATGTGCTATTTAGGTTATAAAATTTCATCAAGTCTATCTTCACACAACTAGTGTGGAGCATATGTATCATATTCCAAGTCAGAATAGAAGAGCAGGTTCCCATCTTCCCTGCAAACACACTTCAGGGATATCTTGGGACAGAATAGGCCACTGACACTTCTTGTTATCTAAACCCTTCAAATTTTTTCTGTACTTTGACAATTTAAAAACGAAGTACTCTTGTAACAAGTCTTGTCACACCCCTACCATTAATATTAATAGACTGTCATAAATAAATTACTGAAGTGAAACCAATCATCATATTCTTAAGTATCACAGAGCTTCAATACTAAGGATATTTCCCTCTGAGGCACTGCAGTTTGGCAGTGGCAATCTACACTCTTGCCTACTAGCAGGAGCACTCAGAAGATAACCAGCTGTTGTGTTCTGGCATGTGACAGGGTTTTGGTATGCTGAACAGAATGCTGTGTGATGGAAGTTATTTACAGAAGTAGTTTTTAATACCAAAAGTAGTATGCTCAGTATACAGTAAGAGTCCAAACACTTCTAAGCATTTCCCCCTTAAAGGCCGACACTGAAGTTAAATGGAGCACATGTTAGCAGTTAAATGCTTTCTTCACAGGCCAAATCGGTAGTAGAGTTGTGGCTACAATACAGACTTTGATTGTCTAGTTCAGAAACTTAGACTCAAAAAACCCCCTCCGAAGTAATAATTAAAAAAAAAAAAAACAAACAACCAAAACCATTTAAAAAGCAGCACTCAGGGGGCCCATCTTGCTGAGAGTGCACCAGAGCAAAGAGGCTTTCTGGTCTGCAGTAGTGTTTTCGGCTGAGGGAAGATGGCAGGAGAACCCCCATTCTTCTTCCAGGGCGGTGGCTTTGATGCTGTTACCAGCACTGTATTGCTCTGTTGCACAAAGCACGTATAGCCCTTGCAGGACCAGCTCAGTTCAGGCGAGTAAGGTCCATCCTCACCAGGGCATACCTGTCCGTGACCTTTTCCTCTGCTTTTTACAAAGGCAATAGATAGGAAACACAAATAAACCTGCCAAAAGAAGAAAATACAAAGAAAATCATAACTAAATGCAGTCCCTTGTGCGTGTATTGTATTCTTTCAATATATGTATACAGGTGGAGCTTTCTACATCCCAAGAGAATTTCGACAAGGCATTTGGAAAAGCAGAAAAAATATTAGCCTGTAAGAGTCTCTTCAATAATGAGTTGAGCTACACTCATTCTTTCCTTTACAACAAATTCCTGCTAATCCTACACCCATCTCTGACATATTAATTTCTGAACCATGCTGTTTGGTAAAAGATACAAACAAAACTTTTAAAACCACTCTGGAAATCCTTAGATCTAAATCCAAGTCTGATGTAACGAAAGTAGTTTTCAATTAGTTTCACATGCAATAGTGACAGCATGCTATAGCTTTACTTTTTTATAAATATTATTTATTTTTACAAACATCCTTATCTATTGGGAAGTAATACCAAATGTTTATCCTTGCCTGGACAGGATGCTATTTATTCTTAAAAGTCTTTTGAGAGAAAGCAAGCTGTAAAAAGTAATATAAATAAATCACATTAAATCAAGTGAAAAATAGTTTGTCATAGGAGGTACTTTCTCAAATCCAAATGAGATCTCCCCCTTTCTCTTGGCACCAGCTGACTGAAACGGCCAAAGATTTCCGTTTCAGACACCACTAGAGTAACAACATAGAACAAAACACTCCCACAATCACCAAGGTTCTTGCTTTGCTCAATAGCCTTGTAAATGGTGCATAATGGTTTTCAGCTATGATACTGAGATTACTTTAACAGTAGTGTTGGCAAAAAATACTCCTGTAATTATCTCAAACCCCAAAACTTTCCCATAAATAATCCACGTTTTTGGAACTGCTCATACTGCTGCTCTTGATTGTATCTTATCCGGCCATACCTAGGATGAGACTTTAATGGCATGCCTGTAATTGCAATTAGTGTTATTATATTACTGCAAAACCCTATTAATTTTTAGTATAAGCAAAACAGTGGATTATAGATCGTACACTATATCAGATTGCAGAGCAAAATAAGTTTTACTGGCATTAAGAAGTTTTTATTGTCTATATTTTTGGAATAAAAATGTTATTGAATAGAATAAACATTTAAGATAGACACCCCCCATATATATATATCCAGTGAAGGCAGTCTAAATATAGAAAATAATAGCAATATTCCTTATTTGGCCAGACGTAGTCTAGAAAACCTGTAATAGTATTTTGGTTATAGGTTGACTGGTTATTTACAATCTTATTAATGTAGCTCTCCTGGTATATTTTGGCTTTATTATATTAAAATAAAGATGCCACATCCCAACATGCCTCAGGGCATGCACTGCAAATTTTCAATGGAGTAAGTAGTTTGGTGTAGAGCTGTGAAGCAACATGATACCCAAATGACATATTACTGCCAACATAAAGAGTAGATATGCACTTGCATGAGCAAAATTATACCTTGATTGTCATGGCTAATTTCCTTTCTGCAGGAGAACTCAGCGAAGCCAAAGGCAAAGAGCAGATTTGCTAAAATAACTACCTCCACATTAATATAACCACATTAACAGAGCTTTGATACCATATCAAATGAGTTCACAGTACCAGTTTTTGTGATGGAATCCAATTTGGCAGCCCAGGCACTGAATCATATTTTGAGATTGACTCATCCCAATTTGCTGCTTTGTTGCTGCTGCATCTTCAAGCTGGTGAGCTCTTGGGACTATGCCTAGTGCCCCAAAAATCTTGTCATGCACATGGCCAAGACCATAAAACTGTGATTCAATGGGGTGATTAAAGGGCAGGTCCAAGTCAGCCAGCCCCTAGGATTATGTTTAAATTACTCAGGACTTTGTAGTAGTTTAACTACACTAGTTAAAGACTTTGGGTCAGAAAACCAAATATAGGAGCAAAAATAAAGCTAATAAGCATAAAATGCAAGTAAGGAAAAAAAAAAAACAAACAAAACCTAGAGACAAGCTTTTTAGAAAAAAAAAGTCGTGCTTGATACCAAAACAGTATCTGTGAAATGTGTACTTTGTGTCCATCTCTTTGAGATGAAAATATAGAGAGGTCATACAGCAAAAGTTACTGCATAATCAGGATTAGCTTCATTCACATATGTAACTCTTACCTATTACAACAGCTACGGTTCCCAGTGCCAGTCCCAGAACCAGTATTAGGGGTGTAATGAGTAGTTTTCCAGCTGAAATGTAAAATTCATTAAGCAATTCAAAGAAGGTATTTTTATTTTTCCCTTTCCAACCATGCATAAACATTTCAATATCAGACTTCCAAAAGCCGGTTCATTTTTTAAATACTTTACCTTTACAAATAGGATTCCTATTTGCAATTTCATCCTACAAATCCAGGTAGGATCTATTGCCACTCAACCAGCTCCCTGCACACATTTCTTTCTGTACTCTTCACCCACCACAACTCTTCGAGCACAGCTCATTTTGTCCATTAACAGCTTGCATTTACTTCTGTTTCCATTCTGAAGTCCCTTAAGCATTGACAGGAATGTGATAGCTATAAAGCTACTATCATTTGGCTCCTCCGGAATCCAACTGCACACCAACCACCCTGGAAAGATGCCAAGCAAACTAGCATCTTGGAAAGTTTAGGTTAGCTCAAGGTGATGAGAGCACCCCCTCTAAATATGCTTCTTCTTGCTTTAAAAGGCTACAGTGAAGTGCTTGTGTACAGCTGTGATTTAGGTCTAAATCAAACTACAGCCAAGTCTATTTTGGATCAACATTTGTAAGGATATATGTTGTGGCACTTACATAAATAAGGCAGCAATGTTGTGCAGCATACTGGCTAGAGCATATGACCAAGAACAAATAAAGCATGCTCATATTATTTACTTCTAATGAGTTCATGATCATGGAGTGAAAGCAGAGGTCCTTCTGAAACAGTGAATCTGAAACTGAACTTGAAACCAAGTTATCTTTCTTGAGTTGCACACTTCAAGTGGAAGAATCTCCCTGTCTCAGTTGGCTGAGCAGCTGGATCTAAGATATCATTTGTCTGAGCTGTTTGAAAACACAGAAGGGAAGGCATTTTTATTGATACACCAGCAGTCTGATCAGAGACTTGAAATTTGGCAAGTCTTTAAGTTAGGCATGTGTTTGAAAGATCACCTCTAGAATGGGAGAAAAAGTGAGTTTGTGACTTCTCTCTTCCCTGCCATTCCATCTCTCAAGTCACTCGTATCAGATTTCGGTAAATGGATTACTTCATTCAATAATGATGTAAACCTCTCCATAACCTGAGACACTAATTTGAGCAGTCTGAAGGAAAAATTAGATATTTTGGAAATATTTACAGCAGTTAAATGAACTGGTCCTTTTCATGCTGTTTTGATAGCTTTTAAATTTCATAGTAGTGTTGTGGGTGGGAAACATTAATTCCTAGAATTAAACATTAATTAAATAAACATTAATAATAATATTTAATTAATAACATTAATTAAAAATTGGCAAATATTATTTGTATTACTCTAATTGCTAGGCATCCTAATGGTAGACCTTCTTGGGACTCTACTGCGCTGCGTTCTACACACATAGAAGTTGTTACCTAAGTTATTCAAGTGCAGACAGAAGGATGAATGTAATGTGATGGAATCATGACACACCAAGAAATGACGCTGAGACTAAGGATGTTTATTGCAGGCACTGAACTGCCCAAAGACCCACTGCCCTATGTCTGTTAGCTCCAAGACTGCTAGTGGAGAGAGCAAATGTAAAACCTGTCTCGGAGCTGAATGAAATCTTGGGTCATTAGCCCATGTGATGAACTCAGCGGCAGGTTATGACCCAGTTTGGAATTGTCCAAAGCTAGTTTTTAGGGATAACTTAAGAAGAAATGGTTGTAAACAGAACAAGCCTCAAAAGGGAACCTTTTTTTCACAATCACACTCAAATTAATGGTAAATAATTTCTCTACTGGGTCACTCTGCATGAAGACTTAGATATTTGTGGTAATGTAATAACTGTATTTACAGGTGTCTCAGAGGGGTTGCCTTACTTGTGATACAGAGGATCATGTTTTTCTGCAAAATGATGAAGTGTTTCAGGAAACATGAGGGAATATTTTTCCCTTCCATAACTTTGGGTTTGGTTGAGGGGTTTAGGGTAATATATACAAGCATCCATAAATACCTCAAGAATTCTTTGCCATGTAAAATATTAATAAATTAGTTTTAGAAAACAAATTTAATCATTAGCATATGGGAAATAATATGTTTTATCTTTTAAGTCTACATATCATTATTGTTTAAGCAGCAGAGACACTAGAAAAGTCTACTTACAAATCAAAGTAGCCATATCTATGTAGATTTAAGCTCTAATAAAACTTAGCATTTGTTTTTAAAAGAGTCCTATCAAGTGTATAGAGATGACTTCTTACAAATCAGACTGACTTAAATGACGAAGTTGCTAATGAAGGTTAGATTACAGAAATGCATGCTTCCTTCTGCAGGGCTCAAAGCTGTGCATAAATAAAGTGAACCTTGTGCTCTGCTTGGGACAGGAGTCAGTCAGATCTGAAAACATGCTGCTTTTCCTATTTGAAATGCTGCTTACCATGCAAAAAAATTAATTTGCTTTAATAGCTTCATTGCATGTTGTGTCCTGTAACAGATCCACGAAGTACCTAGCAGTTAAATTTGAATATAATTCATCCAGTTGAATTCAAGTGGTACTCCAGTGACATCTTAAGTACATTTAAGACAGCTGAACATGTTTTTCCTTTCTGTACAATTCATCACTGACTCCAGTTAAAATGAAACATTCTGCCTTCAATACTTTAGCCAAATAATTACTATGAGAATGAAATCTCTAAGTCTGCTGGGACTGAATGATAAAACCAATTTCACTTTACTGTACTGGTCAAAGGACAAAGTTTCTCTAAAAAACATGTTGGCTAAAGAAGGGGAAGAAATGTCATCAAATTTAGAGATCACTTCTGCTCTCAGGTTTTCTACTCCCTGTGATTACTATCACATTTACATAACAACTAGTTTGTGAAGAAAAGTATGTTTAAATTTATGCTGCCATAAATGCTTTTCCCTTATTTTTATTGCAGAACAGTTTGTGATTGTATGCACAAACCCTTGCTTCTCAACAGAAACCATGCCAGCATGCCAGCCTGCCATGAGGCATTCTTTTCTTTCTACACAACCTACCCAGCTAGATTTTAGAAACAAGCCAAAAAAACCTTTATCGTACACAGCTACAAAATCACATTAAGTATTTCTTCTCCATAGTAATAAAGAAGTCATAGAAAACACATATCTAGCAACACCTCACCAGTCTCCCACTGACAGCCAAGATAAGATTCCCTTAATTCCCACTACTTAGCTAGCTAGTAGAGGCATTTTACTACAAGAAATCGAACCTTTATTTCTTACTACACGTTACTAGAATTTGAGACTTTGCTTTAATGGACTGTCTCTCTGCTACCATCTCTTCTTTCTTCTGCTGACGTTCAGAACAGAACCAAAACCCAGGTTTGTACTCTAGCATCTCCTGATGATAATGCTCCTTTCTTGCCTAACAATGTATTTATGTATTTACATTTACAGTTCTAGCAACCAGGACATCCCTGAGCCTAGACATGATCCCTAATTGGAATTCAACATTTTGGAGTTTTCAGCTTGATCATAAGTCATTAAGACTAGTAAGCTTCGGTTCAGCACAAAACATAAAACACAAACAAACAAAAAACAGTATCAAGTATCATGACAAAGTAGAATCTGATGGAGGGTCCATAAAAGAGAGATGAGCAGGTAAGCAAGCTATTATTATTTACTCAATTTCACGATAATAGAAGTAACCAATGAAATCATTAGGAATCAATAAAAACCAACAGGACTTTTGCCACACAACACACAGTAAAATCCTAGAACCTCTACCAGAAATGTTTTAGAAGCCAAAACTTAAGAACTGTATAAACTACTGAAGGATAAATCTACTGATAGTTATTAATCAAAGGTTCAGATACAAACCTTAACTAAGTGTCTTGTTTAAAACAATGATTACTGGAAACAAACAGGGAGCGAGATCTTATTTCTAACTGACCACTGCTGGGGACAGACTTACCAGGCAGACCTTTACACAAGCCCAATTAACAGGTACAGATCAATTCAGTTGAAGTTTTACAAAGATAGATGATCCTAGCAGATTTGCAGCATTGAAAATGGCAGAATCTACAAACTGAACTGACACTGTATCACAGTTCGGGATTATACCTTCTGCGAAGAAAAATGTCAGTAGGTACAATCTTACAGTAATATAATGTTGTCTTAAAAAAAAACACATGTGAAAACTCACATGTGCACTTTTGTGGAAAAAAATACAAAAATCTAGACTAGCTTATATATGCAAATCATAGCCAAAATCTAATCCAATGGAGGAAGAGCTGTGACCTCAATTCCAGATTTCAAATCTGATGCAAATTTTTAAAGCTGGTAATTTTTTGTTTTCATGTGTGAGTTCTGTTAGGGCTCTGGAGTGTTTTGGTAGTTATTCATAAAGTGTAATAGAACCAATATTAAAATTTAGAGTTCTAGAGATGACAGGGATTTAAGTCATGAGCATCAATGCAGAATTTTTTTAATTATTGTCAACTTGGGTGTTAACAAGCTATTGTAAAAAAGAGGGTCATTAACTACATGTGCTGGCAGGTCCAGCTAGCTCTGTCTCTATTCAAATGATGACCATTTCTTTTGAGAAATTGCACCATATGACAGCCATAGTCCTAGAGAGACATTTTTAACAGAATGTCTCTATGAGAAATGTCATCTGAGGCTTTGAGCTTTGCTAATCTTTCTTATTTACTAATTAATGCAAACCACAAGTATGCTTGCAAACAGGAAATTAAAATAAAAATATTTTATACCTTCTCTAAGTGTGATCTCTTAAATATGAACATACACACCTTCACCACTGAACTTTAATTCATATATTCTCTTCCACATTTCTCTATTGCCCTCAAGTTGATGTTGACAAATAAAATAATTTTGTTTCTTACTAGTAACAGCTGTTTTATTTTAAAAGGAAAAGGCCGTGTATTGTTGTTTCCTAAAACAACAAGCAAGGTAAATACAAACTAATTTTAATAGTAGTTATGCACATGCAGTACATGCATCTGTATTTGGGACTTCTTATGTGACATTAAAACATTCCAACTACATATTTAGATACCTTAAATGTAAACCAATGCAAATATTATCAGAATGATAATGTTATTTTTTGGAGATCTATGTTGTGATAAAACTCACTTGTTTTATCTTTGCATCTCCATTGCACAGAGAAGGTTTAATCTTGGGCCTACAAGCAAGATGGAGAGGGATTTTTTACAAGTGCATGTAGCAATAGCACAAGGGGTAATGGCTTCAGACTGAAGGTGGGCAACTTAGATTGCATATAAGTTTTTTTATAATGAGGGTGGTGAACCACTGGCTCAGGTTGTCCAGAGATGTAGTGGATGACCCATCCCTGTAAACATTCAAAGCCAGGTTGGACAGGGCTCTGAGCAACCTGATCTAGTTGCAGATGTCCCTGCGCATTGCAAGTGGGCTGGACTAGATGGCCTTTAAAAGTCCGTTCCAAACCAAACTATTCTATAATTCTAATAAGGCTCCCCATGATTCTGTACGTGAGCAGCATTGACTTGGTTATGTCTCTGAGAACTGTCCGTTGCTACAGCAGATACTAATTACACCAAATGTAACAAGATCCATTTTAAAACAGCTTACATTTTTTGCCATTGTGGCTATTAATAAATGCTCTTCTGAAATCTTACTAAGTGCTTTGAAACAGTTCTTGAGTTTTAAGTCTAAATTTATTCATGAAATGTTTCTACCCATGTGCCTTAGTGCCAGAATTGTTTTTAATCTAGACTAGATCTTCTCATCCACTGGTATTAATATCTACAAAATGTGTCAAGAGCAGGCACCTCCAATCATTTTTCAGTTTTCATCCACTTTCTTGTTATTCGTGTATCTTTAATTCACCTCTCTGATAAAATTTGTTATAAAGCCTTGCAAGTTCCTGAGGTCAAATTAATGGGTTTGAATGACTTATTGTTGCTTGTTAAACAAGCATTCCAGGTTTGTGAATCTTCCACAACTTTGCAGATCAGCAAGATCGGCATTTTTATTACCAGGCCTATGTTTGTGTGCCAACTCTTGTGTTACTCTAAAAATCACCCAGTTTTCTTACTGGAATATGTTGGGCTCAGGAGTAATGTTTTCACCTCAGGTCTGCTGACTTCTATTTCCACATGTACGACTCTCACCTTTACCTCTGCAATCAACAACACCAATTGATAAGCTCAAAGCATTTCCTAATCCTAGGTGAATTCCAAGTCATTTCCAATTTCTATGACTTAATTCAAAGTACAAGAAGTTCTATTTTCCTTATCAGGTCCCCAGTTTTTGACATTAATACAACCATTTTGTATGGTTGTATTTTGGGATCATATTTCTGAGAGAAAGTAAATGTATATTATTTTCTTTTAAGCTGGATATTATCTGAACTGAAGCTAACAGTTAAAAAATAACCCAGATCAGGTTCAAATCCTAACAGCGCTTTATTCAAACAGATCCTTAACGGAGAGGTTAAAAAAAGATTCCTGCTCTTATCCATTTCTCCTATATGCTTTTAGAATACTAAACACAGCCAGCCACATGCACATTGACAGCATTTTTCCAGTTTGCTTATGTATTACTAAAAAAGGTTAGGAAACAGAAGCTATTAGAAGAGGACAAAATACTTACTCATACAAGTCTATCTGAAAAAGGAGTACAGATGTGATATATTTAAATATATTTGATAACCCCCCTTTACGTAACTGAAAAGCAAGTTGCCCATCCAATACTTTAAACCATGTTTTAATTTAAATATCGCCTTATCCCCCCAATCGCTTCATTGTGCAGCTCTCCACAAGGAACCTTTATCCACTCACCACAAACAGAGCCTCGCACTAATCTCCTTAAATGTGGTCTCTCGGGGAGGTAGCGGTATTTGCATCCAAAGATACTGAGGTTTGACGTGTGATCTCCGAAGAAGCGGAGCTGGCGGTATCTCTCCCCACAACGGTAACAGAAATTAGTGTTACACTGTGAACAGGTCATGTGGTCACACCCTTCGGTTCTCTGGATGTGGATCTGTATGAGAAGAAGGAAAAAAAAGTTATTTTCCCCCCTCCTTAAGCACAGGAAAGCAGGCACTACCCAGTACAATCCATTTGCCAGATGAAAAGACACTGCAAGCAACACCTTGCTTAAGCCTGCATTTGCATTAATTAATACTGCAGCTGGCTTAAGACAATAAGGGTTTTCAAAGGCAAGCTTCAGAGCATTAAATATGAGTTATAAGTTGTTTCCAGATTTCCGTTTTCTGTATAATTCTCCTTCCTTGCTTAAACACTCTTCATATCAGATGAGAATATGAGTGATCCTTGTCCTTACTGAAAATTTGTTTTTATTTCTGAAGAAGACACATTAGCACTGAACTTTATTAAAAATAAAAGCGGCACAGTAAATGTAGCTACGAACTCTGTTTGATCTCTCCACAGATGGGTTTTCCTCTCACACCACCTGTGGCCCCATCCCTTTCCCATCACAAATTCATTTGGCATTTTGTAATATACACCAGAAAGACACTGCTGTTACAGTGAATCGTTTCACAAGTATTTTTGTTGTTGTGGCATTGTTTGTTGTTGTGGGTTTTTTTTTCCCCAGAAAGATTCCACAAACTATATTAAAAATTACACCAAGCGTCATGATGCCCACAGTAGAGCATGAAGCAGGGCTGCCTAAGTTCTACATCCATCTTTCTGCTGATTGCCAGCAGAAGTAGTTCCATTCCTGTATCTCCATGAACTCTTCTGCAAACTGATAAAATTTACCTACTTTGCATAGATCTAATAAAGCTCTGGTTTTTGTTAACAGTTCCAAGAGTCTTTGGAGAGAGGGTAATCCTGGTCCTGAGTATTCCATGAAATCAAATACGATTACATGCTACTTTAAATTTTGTCAACAAAAACCACAGCTAATGGAGTGGTAAACACACGCTCTTCCTAGCCCACAGAATTGCTACACACATCCCACATACAACCCTTGTCCCACGTCCTGAGACCACATTCCACAGTGGTCCACAGAAAGGCAGATAAAATTACCTAACAATTGAGGCTGAAAGTGACTCTTGGAGGTCATCTATTTTAACCCCTAGCTCCAAGCTGGACTAACTTCAAAGTCAGATCAGATTGCTCCAAGTCTCATCCCATTAAATTTTAAAAATTTCCAAGTATGGGTATGTCATAGCCTCTTTCAGCAACCTGTCCCATGCTTCACCATTCTCCCTGGGAATATTTTTTCCTGTTACATCCAACTGGAATTTTATCTGTTGAAACTTGCAATGGATAAATGAATGCCTCCTAAAATTCCTACAGATATCTACATATATTTATTTTTCAGGGAGATACAGGCAAAGACAAGGCATCACCACTGTGACCCTGCAAGCATCAGAGACACTGATAGCTCAGGTACCTCAAGAGAGGTTCATGGTTCCTGAGGTATCCAACATTATTGAGAGGGTCATATGTGTTTGTTCTTTGGTGCTGATCAGGGGTCATCTGGGATCGCACCTGACTCACCCACACATCTACTGAAATTGGCACTTTATACATGTAGCAAAGTGATGTTTTCCATCAGCAATATTCACAATAAAAGATTCAGTGGTAGATGTAGTTAACAGCAGTTCCAGATACACCTGCCAACATCTCTTTGTCAACAGCAGTGATCTCAGAATTTGCACTTCTACACTTTCAAATGCTGCTTTCAAACATAAGAGAGAATTGGGCTATAAAAATACTTTCTAGTGAGAAAGGATTCTAGTGGACTTACATTTGCCCCAGAGAAGGGATGCAAATAGCATCCCTTATGACCAAGCAACCCTCTCCACCCTGAGAAAGCCTGCTGTATCACAGCTGCCCTGTTTTCCAGAAGCACCTGAAAAAACACCATTGCTGATGAGCTTTATAAGCCACTTGATTTTAAAACTTTCACATTTAAGCACTGAATAAACAAAGTAGAAACAGAAGTCTACTCAATATTGTACCAACTTAAGAATAACTTACCAAGTTATATGCTATTTTCTTCTAGAAGGGACATTATATTGTCAGTTTGACGTTTGTTTTTACTTTTCAGGTTACATGTGAAAAAATGTTGACCTTGCTCATGGAGCCACAGTTTAATGTAATTCCTAAGATTAACTTGAACTGAAATGAAGGAATTTTATTAGTTACTTAATGTATTTTAACAAATTAACTTTAAATTTTAATTCCAATTAGTTTTTCAGGGGACTGATATTCAGAAAGCAACTATATGGACTTCTGCAATTTTAGAGGTAACTTTCCTCATCTGCTGATTCCATCTTAAAAATGTACATGAGGGAACTAGATCTTATCCCACTAATGAGAATTAACTGGTTGTTTTATCTTCTTTTTGAATCAAAACCATTTAATTCTCCTTTCTCTTCTCTAATTTACCAACCCAATTAAGTTACAGACTTTCAGTTAGGATGGATGGTATGAGCCTGGAACCTATAAAAACCCTAGATGCAAACCAAAACTACTTCATGTTTCAAAAATAAATTAATTTTTTTGGTAATAAGAACTTCAAGAAGATGCTGGAAATAGCTTTATATGTTCTACCATTCATATCTTTCATAAATATTCACACCTCTTAGAAACTGCCTGCCAACTGCATACTCGTGCTTTCCTAGATGCAAACCAGTTCCAGTTAGCTAGGCACCACTGCTGAATCATTTGACAATCTACTTGTTTCTACTCTAAGTCCTCCAGTCATACTGTCCTCTTTAAACATAAAAGAAGTTGATACTTCTTTTATGGGATTTATTTTATTACAGACACATACTGCAATTACATATACTTTATGTTGCTTCCTCAAAAAGTAAACCATGAAAAAAATTTTAGTGAATACTTATCTGCACATATGTAACTATCTTCAAAAGCTGCAAATCTGGAACAACTGATTGTACTTGCCCATATTTTTTTTGTTGAAAGAACTTTCCTTTTTACAGTGAGGAGAGACTTTATCAAAAAAATGAAGTAAAAAAAACCCCCCCAAACCTCAGATGCAGGGCTTGGACTCTTGGTCACATGCACACAGACTGACAATGCCAGATGAACTCTGCTGCTTTCAAGCCTAAGACATGACATCTCACCAGATCAACTTCAGCTCTGGTTCACATGGACATGCCTCCCTGCCCTCCAGATAATCCACTGACAGAGATGGATTACAAATCTATAAATTGAGAAAGCGATAGCTGATGGATCAGATATCAAATGACTGTTCCTGCTCCACTGGCAATACCACGGTATGCAAAAGGCAGCCGGGAGAATGTATGGGGCCAGGAATGCAGCTTGCTATAGTTAGCTGCAGCTGTGTTCCCAGCAGCACCATGAGGGTAGAAGAGGCAAGGTGAGAGCATGATGACTGCAAGCACAGTTTCTGCCTCCAAACATTCAGTAAATGCACCAGGCTTCATCCTACACCCAATACCCATTCAAAACCAAAGACATACCCTCACCTTACAGGGGAAGGTTTAGTTATTCAGAAACCCAAAAATGGCTTCCAGAACAAGAGGGGTAAAAATTACACATCAAAGGCAAACACACCTAGGTCAGTCTTAAGGAAACAACTAAAGTAGCACAGTGGCTATTTCAGACCTTCACTTTACCTCCTCTGAATGTTAGAAGTCCTCTCATAGAAATCTTTTAGGGAAATCACTGCCAAAAGTTCTGAGGGTAAGAACGGCCATTTCTCCTCCACTCCTGAAGAGAATCTGCACAGCTTTATCCCTTTGTATACAAATAAGGACACTCCTCCCTCCAGAGGATGAGAATTAATTTGCAGAGCACCTTCAAAATCTATGCCCTGAGTTATAACACTTATAGTAATCAGAACGGATAAGCCACAGATAAGAAGTACACACTCCTTTATTTGCATTGACATCCTTGTTTACTTAAACTTCTGTTGCTGCTCAAAGCTTTCTAAACTTGAGCTGCTGTGTGGTCTTTCCTCAGACAGTGCTGTTTTTGAAATCTGTGGTAAGATAACACCAACACGAAGTACTTCCTTGGTTTGCTGTACTGTAAAGACACTTGCGGAAACAAAGGCATTTTCCTGCAAACACCTAGCTAGAAACTGTAAAAAATAAACCCCTAAAACAGTAGTAGGGAAAGACAAGTAATGTTATAGATTTAGTCAAATGGCATCTAAAAACATGTAGCAAGTTTGCATGCATTAGCCAGCTCTCTCTAGAACAGGACCAGCACTTTTTGGACAAGTCTTGTTGAGAAAAATTGTCTATGCTGACTTCCTTAAAATAGCTTATAGTAAATTTGGAAAAGGCTCTATTAAAAACAAAAAAAATATATAAAAACTAATTTAAGATACAGTTAAAAAAAAGTAGTGTATTTCCATACTAATATACAATCAAAACATGGATCTACAATTACATAGTTGGACAGTGTGTAACATTATTATCTTATGTAAACACACTTTAGAGAGACTAGGTAAATATAAGTTATTCCTACTAGATTCACTGAAGCTGTATCCAGCTACAGCAAAAAGCAATCAAGTTTAAGCTTATTCAACAGTCCCCACTATATTCAGATTACAAAGGATTATGTTCTTTCAAAGCACTTACCAAAACCACTGAAAAACTTGTGAATACGTGCCTGAGGATCTGCCAATACATACACGCCCCCATAAATGCGTTTCCTTTTTCTCACCTGCATGCCCAGACAAGATAATAATAGTGCATTTGACTTCTCTGTGGTACAGGTACTTAAAGAGAGAGACTGTGTGTGTGTGTGCATCTATGTGGTGTGTATAAATAATTATCTCCAGAAGGTATCTGTAAAATATGGTCACAGTTTACACTGTAATCAGTAACTTTGGAAGTTACCAGTAATTTTACAAATTACCTAAGCAAAGAAATTCTACTTCTATTAAAATTTCTATCTCTAATTTTTCTTAGTTTCAGTTTTAGCGTAAAGACTGAATACTAATATCTTCAGACAAAATTTCATCTTGACTTTTTCTCAATCTGTAAACTTTGGCTGCTGCAAATTTTTAACCAACACATGAAAGAGGTTAAAAATAAAATATGCTGTCACCTGAAACATTGACTATGTGGACCTAGAGCAAGAATAAATTAAATGGTGTGTTATCAACTCTATTTTCTCTGTCTTTCTCCTTATTTTATTTGGAAATATGATTATAATTTGATTCAATGTTATTTTATATAGAGGTTTTAGGGGGATGGCTGGAGAAAGAAAGGCAGAGAAGTGTTAGGTCTAATCCCCTTGACTCCAAACTGTTAACTGTTGGAATGCTTATCCCCACGTGCCCAGATATCTACCAAAGACTTGATGAAGAGTGCTGCTGAAGATGTATTTTTTTAATTACTCAATAACCGCTGAAAAAAAAGAAAGAAAAGAACAACAGTACCACTAACCATTGGCTAACTGGTCCTTTGATTACTTGCTAGTTATAGATTTGACTTAAAAATAAACTGTGTTGATAGAAACATTTTGGAGATTGCAGACAGGAAGAATATTTTTCATCTCTGAAGAAAAAAGTATCAAGAGTAAGGGTAGCAACACAGTTTATAACAAAGTTGAATTCCCTCTTCAATATTCACTTACAATACACATCAACAGAAAGGACTTGACAGAGTTCCTTTTTTCTGTGCTAGTTTCGTAACTTTCCATACTGCCTCCCACCATGTAGGACATTTTATTTTCCTTTGATTATGGAAAGAAACCTAAAGTATTTTTTAAATTAGCAGCCTAACTCATGCAATTTTATGCTTCACAATTAGTGACAAGCCACAAAAGTTTCAAGTGTCTAGCCTTTTTTTTTTTTTGAAGATGGTGAAAAGAGTTGTACATTTAAATATGGCATTTTAAATTTATTACTTATTCAGGCTGAATATGTTACAGTTAGCAGTTTTAGTTCCTTTCTCTTTCCAGCTAGCAGCCTTCTTCCCCTTGTTTTTCCACATTCATACTTTTTTGCTTGGTCCACTTTCTTCTTTTTTTGGACAACTTATTACATTATTTGCATTGTCACAAAATCTGAATCTGGACACAAGTCAAAGAATTAAAACCAAAACACAGGTCCCACTCCAAAAGGAACAAAGGATTTTATTTTATGACTTCCCAGAAACTGAACATTTTTAGAACTGGCTCAAACCTATCAACTCTTAACAAAGAGCAAGCTGTAAAAACTCTGTTAAAATGTCACATGTGCATGAGGGAGGGTAAACAACTAGCTGCTGATTTTAGAGCTTTCCAATTTTGCTCAGTGTTTCAAAATCTTTCAAGCTATGGCATCACAGGCATTTCTTTCCCAAAGACCAAAATGAGACACTTACTAAGCTGATGAACATTTTCTTATTTGCACAGTGTAAGGCTCAAAGTGTGACACTACTTGGTATACTTACAAGTAAATCTCCCTTTCAATATTTATTTTCTACCAAACATTCCAGTTTCCTTACTTTGTCCTTCCTGTCTATGCAGATTTAGAGCAATAGAAAATTTCAGACTAGGTACTCTCTTTCAAAAAAAGAAAAAAAAAAAGGACAGTCTCCCACCACCATGACGCTCTTAAGGTTTTGACTTACTACTCCCTCGGTAGCTGGAGATAGGTGTTATGAAAAAAAATAGTGAACCGAGGTAACAGCTCCTTCATTAAGGGCAACCAGGTCAGGGGTATGCAGGGCTGTTGAATCTCATTTGAGTAGTAGGAAGTATTTCCTATCCTGGAATAGATTAATGATATTTTTAGGGTGTACGACTACTGCACTTCAGTGTTGAAAATTAAACTAATTAATAAGAAACACTTCACAGAATCATCTAGGTTGTAAAAGACCTCAGAGATCATCAAGTCTAACCTTTGACCATCACCTTGTCAACTAAACCATGGCATGAAATGCCATGTCCAGTTATTGCTTGAACACCTCCAGGAATGGTGACTCCACCACCTCCCTGGCCAGCTTATTGCAATGTTTGACAACTCTTTCAGTGAAGAAATTCCTCCTGATGTCCAGCCTGAACCTCCCCTCAAGCAGTTTGAGGCTATGTCCTCTTGTCCTTTTGCTGGTTGCACTAGAGAAGTCACCAACATCCACTTTGCTACAACCTTCTTTCAGGTAGTTGTAGAAAGTGATAAGGTCTCCCCTGAGCCTTCTCCAGGCTAAACAACCCCAGCTCCCTCAGCCACTCCTCACAGGATTTACCTGCCGGACCCTTCACCACTTCACTGCCTTTCTCTGCAGTCACTCCAGCATCTCAATGTCTTTCTTGAAGTGAAGGGCCCAGAATCAGATACAGTACTCGAGGTGCGGCCTGTGAAGTCGCACCTTGAGATGTGACTTGTGCAGAACTGACATTTAATCCTAAAAAACTCAGAATTTTGCCAAACCTTAAACTCTCCCCTAACTCTTGACAGAGTACTTCCTGCCTTGTGAAACTGAATTCACTCAAACCCTCCAGAAAACATGACAAAGGGCATCATATTTCTCTACAGCTTCCCATTTCTTTAAAGCTTTATTTTAGGAATGATTTATTCCGTAGCACATTCATTACCACAAACCATTCTATGATTCTGTGATTCTAAGCATATATCAATGCCCCCTCTTACTATTTCCATAACGTTGCTTTTACAGGCAGATATTCTGCAGAATCAGTGCATAAACCAGCAAGTAAAACATCTGACCTGTTTTTCTTAAGGGGTCATTGAAAAGACCCTGCACAGCAAGTGTGAATTTCATTTTCAATGCTGAGCGGAAGCTAAAAATATTTATTTTTAATATTTAATAAACAATACCTGCAAGCCAAGGGAGAGCAGCTCACCTTGCATTTTGGACACTTCTGGGCATTCCTCTGCCCATGTTCAATTTCGTTGGCCCAGTGACGTAACAGCTTGTCTCCCTTCTTGTATTCTTTGCAGTTAACGCCTTCATGCCAGGGAGAGTGGCACTTGAAACACCAAACAAATTGGCAAGATGGACACTGGATCTGTACAAATGAGAAAACACCACACGTTTACAAGCTGGACGCTGATCCAATTAGAAAGCCTGTTTTAAAACCACTGCTCTTCAATTAAGAGAGTAGCTGCTCAGCAAAGGTCCAGCATCTTTTGAAGGGTCTGTTTTAAAAACACAAGAAGTTGTGGAAGCTAGCTTGTTCTATTTTTTTTTAAAAAGAGAGAAAATACAGAAGCAATTGCTAAAGTCAGGAAAGGCCTCAATCAAACAAAACACAAGTAGCTTGGTTCAACCATAGAAACTGCTCCCCAAATACATTGTGTGGCTCAACTGACAAGAGGAAAAATCCAGGAAGTTTATTCATTTGCTTCCTACATTTGTGAGATCACCTAAAAATTAGCAGACAGTTTTCATTGCAGTAGATCTATCGTCTTCTAGTAATAAACTTCACTGCCAAGGCTATTACCAGAGAGAACCTGGTCTTCTGAGGGGGCTCTACAGAACCCAGAATGGGTTATGAAGCTATATTAGAAATGGTCCTGGGAACAGGAGCCATGAACAAAGTTCTCATCCAAGAGCCAGAATGACCAACTGGAAGTCAGGCACCTCCTTTTGCTCTTGATTGTGTAAAGGCAAGCTGAGGCCGTGACAAACAGCCTGCTTGCTACAGACCACACCTAATGGCAAAAACCACAAGCTATACTCAAATTGAGAAGGGATCTATTCTTTCCACTCCCTTGGTTTTAAATCGTTGTGTCAAACAGGTACCATCGTCATCATGTCATTGCTTCTTCCAGAGCCTGCTCATTTTCTGTTTGAAAAGCTGTGGCAGTTGCTGTGTTTGCCAAGTAATAAATAGAGGCACATTCTTATCTGATGAAAGACAGGCCTCCTACCTGGATTGTGACTAAGGAAAGCAAGAACTAGAAGCCATATTAGACACAGGCACATCCAGGCTTTCGCAACATGTTCAATTCTGCTGTGTTTGGCTGAAAAACGTTTCAGCCTGAAAGATGGGAGATCACACCTCTCAAGCAACTGCTGAGCCCTATCCACCATCTCCAGTTGCAGTCTATGTCTGGCACTACCCTGGCTTTGTACCAGCTGATGGATGGGATTCAGGGATTCCACCAGCCAAACAAAGGTTACATCTGTGTCCACATTTGGTTCACCACCAAACCATGGACATGTCTGTGCTGGCCATGCATGGTGTGGGGGTGCTGTTCAGGAAACTGCATCCTAGAGTGTAGTCACATGTGAAATCCCCAAAATGCATTTCTGAAGTTGTCACTCCCAGCAGTTGCTGTGCCCTCTGTTCAGACATGCTAACTGGTGGTGCGCCTCCTTGACTACAGTTAAGAGTCCAAAGTAGGTGCTCTGATCTCCCTTATATGCTTTGCTGGAGGGTAGCCTAAATTATTTATATGTGCAATCACTACATCTATCACTACCGACATGATAATACAAAGCTGATCTGATCTCTGATGCATGACCTAGAAATGAAGCTGTGTTACCTTTAACGCTATTCCCCAAGTTCTACACACAGAGAGAGCATTTAGTTTTTTGCCTTTAATGTTTCACATTGCAACCTAATTGACACAATTGCTCAACCTGAGCATTTCTATGACCCTAGCTAACCTATTTTTCAGTGGCTGTCTAACTTCACCAGTAAAGAGCAATATTGTTTTTTCCACTGCAGCAGTGTCTAACAGTCATAGCTTGGTTTGTATTGTGCGATGTTGTCCTAGTTACAGTGGCCAGGACCAGGTTATTACTATGTGGGTATAACCAAAACTGTGTATTCTACACCCTCTATGTCATTTCTGATGGACAGTTGATAATGGATTATTTGCAGCAGCTGCCCAGGGCACATCTAAGGACTCAGCTGTCATAACTCCCCCCATCCCAGGGAGGCATTAGCACCTTCACACCCAGCCTGAGGGGTCATCTTTGCTAATGGACCATACTGGACTGGCATAATAGTCAGCTGCAACACCTAGACCATCAAAGACTCCAAAAATATCACAGGACTCACTTAAATCACCCATTGTGAAACTCCCTGCCCTGGGGGAGATACAGGACATTCCCACCTGAACCTGAGCATATATAATCTTGGGGTTTTGAGACTTCTGGTATCACTCGTTGGATCCAGAGGAGGACCAGAACTCCAACAGGACTGTGACTGCCACTCTCAACAAGACTGTGAAAATTACCTCAACAGAACTACCATCATCACCTGGACCAACAGGTTTTCCTCTCCTTTTACCCTGCACCCAGGGGGGTCACGTGGTGCTCAGCACAGGGGCCAAAGAACACTGTTCTGTTCTTGTCCCAGGGGGCTGGGCTATACATCTGTTTTTTGCAGGTTAAAACAAGTTTTTCTCTGTATCGTTGCATCCGTTGTAATTTATTTTTAGTAAATTGTAACTCCAATTTATAATCTCTCTACAGTTGGGTTCATTTCTCCCACTGGTTCACTTTTAAACCAGCACATCTTGACCTGTTTAACCACGTATTATACTTTTAATAAGGGTCTATGCAATGTGCTGCTCAGTGTATCACTTCAGCTTAACTCTTTACGCCAATCCACATCTGTGGATCATCAAGTGCAAGAATAGGAATTAAGGGTCAAGAAAATTTTCTCACTACCCTTAAGATAGCATGTTCCCATTCATGATCCTTTGCTGGGCATACAGCTGAAGTGCACAAAAGTGAAACAGCACCAAGAAATCGAGAGACTTTCTTCTCATTACAATACATAACATTTTAGTCTGTTACCATCTACTGGTCATTATCTTTGTAAAGAAAAAAATATTGTATGTGCATTTAAGTATTACAGTACATACATTTCCTTCATATCAAGCAGATACAATAAGAGTGTGATATTAAATTCTGATATCCTGTACCCCTTACAAGTATCACTTACTTTTAATAGTTGTAGTATTCAGACATTTGACACAGAACACAGATGTTAAAAAAATACAAACACAAACCAACAGGTAGAAAAGCTGCAAGTTAAATCTTCTTTCTTAAAAAAAATTGACAATTTAAAACAAGTTTCATGGGTTCAGTTTTGGTTTGGTTTTTGGTGAAAATCTGACACAAATTAATTGCAGGTTCTATCTTTCTATTATAGCAGCTACATAAGTGAAAGTAATAGAGCAGCCACTAGGATATATATTTAAACTTACACACATACTGACATCACCTGTTTCCAAACACATTAATTAGAAAATACTGAAATACAAGATGAGGCTATAACTGTATGAACTTGAAATAACATTTTTTACCACAAATGGCCCTAACTAACTGAACTAGTGAGAACTGTGTTTCATTACCAGTTTCCTCTTCCACCTGCCATCCTGACAGCACCTTCCTCAAAACTGAACTAGTAAATTGTTTTTATATTTTGAATGGGCCACTTCCCTTCTCCATGGTTCAATGCTGAGCATACACTAAGCAGGCAAAGAAAACGATGTAAGTACTTAACGAACCTTATTTTTCTTGGAACTAGTGATCACAAAACAAACTCCTAAACCCATTCAAACTTGGATGCAGTGTGACACCAACATGCTTAAGAAACAGAAACACAAAGACTGCAGAAATACTGCAGTCTTTCATATTCTTATTCCACTCTTTCTCTGCTGTTCTGAAAGAAAGTCATATATGATTTGCTTTTTGCTTCAGTATTAGTGCATGAAACCATCGTAACAAGGGCACAGAAGTGCTATCTACATATGATTTAAACCAGTAAAATATAGTCCAGCAAAGCAGAGAAACTATACCTACAAAAGCCCAAAACATTAACCCAGCGTTTTTTCAAATATGTTTTTCCTCACACAAACATTTCTCCATTTATTTTATGGTTTCCATTTCCATAGATTAGAATTGAGAGGATGAATATATACACAAACCTCTATGCCTGGAGGTCAGTCTATACTAGAGGTCAGTCTCCCTTGAAATAGAAAACCTTACACAACTCTTAGCTCTCAGCTTTCTGAAACACTGACCTTTGAAGCTAACATTTTTCATTTTCTTAGCTAGCCTTTTTACTGCAAACTATTTTATTTATCAGTTTCCTCACTTATCAGGAAAAGACCTTTCAAAATTGATAAATAATTTCAACACAAAACACTGATTAATGTGACATGATGACAGCAAAACTGACTGCACAGGAAAAATATTCTGAGAACCTCAAGGTGCAAAAAGCTTAGTGGGATTTTCTGCTGGTGATGGAACACTAGCTATATAATAGGATGGGCAAATTAATTAAGCAACTAACTGATCACATGAATTACAGTCTCTAGCTACAGCTACTGTCACTTTATTTGAAAATAAATATGGGCTCCGGCCCAAACAGCTTCCTTCTCCTCATCACTAACCCAACCTCTTTCTTGTAGCAGCTGAAAATGAAGCAACAACAAAACAAACAAATGTTGTGTCCCGTTAGGGCTGATCTCTGATCCAGTTCCCAGTGTGACACCAAAACATCAACACGAGCGAAAGCAGGCTGGCAGGAATGAACAGCTGAGAGGAAAGATGGAAAGCATGGCAAAATCACCATATCCACAGCAGTTGAGGCTCAAGGTAGGTTGAAGTGATAAACTGCCATGAAGATATCTGTGACTTAAAGGTTAAAATCTGATCCAAAAAGTGAGGAACTACTTGGTATAAATAACGCAGATCAGCTCTATCACAGCATCTCTGCTGGTATGGACTCCTGCTAGTTCAAGAGCAACAAGTTTCAGAAACTCTTCAGCAGTTAAAACAAAAGATAGTTTATCTATAAACTGCATTGAAAACACATTTGCACTTGCAAAGCCAAACACTCAAGTCCTCCTTTTACATGATGTGTATCTCTTGACAGAAGTAAACTAGAAAACTTCATTATGAACCTAGAGATTGATAAAGCAGAAATAAGACTCCAAGAATTAAGTATTGCTTCTCCATGGAAGGTGCCAGGTTAAAGAACTAACATTAAAACAACAGTTGAAAGCCAGGACTTGGGAGGGGGGAAATCCCCAAACCCCACACAGAACAAGTCATCTTACTCTTGTGAAACTCTTATCTGTTCCACACACAGGAATTTAACTAGCAATTTTTCAATTTTTGCCTATTTCCTTTGCACTTTGTCATAACAGCTTTGATCAAAGCTTTATTAGGGTCTTGTCTACAATCAAGTCTTGCATTCCCAATTTAGGTCATATGGGAGGGGACAGGGGTATTTCCTTACTCAAAGCTGGATCCATTTGTGATACAAATACTTGATACAGAAAATTAAGTAGTGCCACTGCTGTGGGACTACTGTCCTAAGTGGCATTAATGGTAGAAGAAAGGTTTGGATAGCAAGTTCCCCTTTTCTTCCCCTCCTTCTCCCTCAACATACTCACTTTTTAGGTTTAGCATACAAAGACTTAAATCTCAGCCAATTGAACTGCAGGGCCTAGATCAATTTAGCTGACATAAACCAGCTATAGTAAGGAAAATTAATTTATAACTTAGCTACTTCGCTGCCTCTTTAAATTTTTATGTTATTTGTCATTTTAAATACTGTATCAGATTTTAGAAATGGAATTAATAACATTTTTAAAGTATCTGTTCAAACAGCTCTTGGATTTTAGAGTGCTTTCCTGTTGCAGAGTATAAGAGTGAGTGTACTGGCACTGAGCACTCATGTGCTGTGATATTACTAGTAGGCTTGTGCATAGATGTTCCCCACATGGCTTCTCTTGAAGCCAGCACTTCCAGTGCTGGTGCAGAATTCATCTGGTGAAATTGTTGTTTATATTGCTCGCACGTGAATATGTGAGCCTCACGAACCTCCAGTCAGACATCTCCTAACACTATAAGCAAAAGAAAATGAGCTTTTAACTCCAAAAAGCCTGTCATTCAGGACACAGAGAGGATGCACACAAGGAATCACATGAGAACCTAAGAAAACCAAGATATCGGTCCACAGCTATGTGTGTATGTAATTACTCACATATACTCAATTTCTGATATAGTCTTCTTTCTAAACCTTCTCCCTGCAGCAAAACTTTTCTTTGTGCTAAGCTTAAAATAAATCACTAAAACTGTGTGTATACCAGAAAACAGTAGATGTTCAGGGAGTAGGCTGATGCCTTGTGGCCCATGATCATCCATACTGTTGCTAGCACTTTCCTAATTGTATTTCTGACTAGCATCAATTAGACATTCTTGCACACAACACCTGGGCTCAGCTCAAAGGACACATTTTGCCAGAGTCTGTTCCCAGGAGACTTAAGCTCTGCAGATCAGAGCTACACATAATGAATCACTGCAGGACCAGTGAACTGCAGCTGGCTTGTACTATGCATCACAGTCACCCATTCCTTCTGATTGTAGTTTGTAGGGAAGTCATAGGAACATTTTAACTGTAGCATTTTGACTCATAAAAGAGCACTGGTCATGCCTTGAGGAATATTCTCAGATCTGGCATGCCCATGATACAACAGCTGCATCACCTATGACCCACACTTGCGAGAGAGTAATAGCTCCTGACACCTTAAGAGAGGTGGCTGCAGAAGCCTTATCTGCTCTGATCTACCCTGGACTACATCTCATGTGTGGTGATGATGAAGCAGATGGGTGAAGGAGAATGGCTGTGAGCAGAAGGAATTTTACCTGCAGTTTCAAATTTCTCCATCTCAATGTAAGACACCAAAAATCTGAAAACATTGAGCCCAACAGACATTGTGATTGTGGCATGTAATTCATGCCTTGCACAGATATACATAAATAGCTCATAACTCAGAATTAGCTTTACCAACTTTTCAACTCCAATGAATACACAACCTTCTACCTTTTAATCTTCATACTGGGCTGAATCTTATGCTGTGTAATTAGAGCTATCTAAACAGTCATCTAAACTCCTACTGAGGAAACTGGTTTGTCCAGGAAAGGCCAGCTCAATCATGAAATTAACCACATCAAATCTAATAACTGGATGGAAAACTAACACAGAACATGATGCTGCAGACAGAAACGTCATCTTCTGGAACTTAGATGGACCTTCAGCAGCACAAAGCCTCTTCTAAACTCTTGCTTTTTATCTTTGATTTAAATCACAGTATAAGCAAATCTTCTATGAAAAGAAATGCTGTAGAAGTGGGTTTTTCCCCTCCTGTTTCTCAAGTTTTTGCATTGTGAGTGATGAGGCTACAGTAATGTATTACGTCTGGTAAGAGAGTGAAGAAATCAAAACCAAGAAGCAGGATGGACAACAGCTCTATTACTAAGGAAGTAGCAAAGCCAACTGCCTAACAGCATAAATGACCAGAATTCATTTACCCAGAGTTTCAGGGAAAACTTGAGGGTAGTGGGTCTAGAATTACTGGTTATAGTGATAAGTTCCCTTTCCCCAGTCTCTTCTGATTGTGACCATATTGTTCGCATGTCGAGAGAAAACACTCTTTAAATTACAATGTATGGCAGGACAAAATTACACTCTCTGCCAAAAAAAAGGGCTGAAGTTTAAGTACTTGAACTATTTGAAGCCAAGTAAGTAGTTAATCAACAACATACTACAGATTCATATTTCTAATCACAGCTTGCACACAGCTCCACTGAAGCAAAAAAACCTCATTTAATGCCCACCAAATGCTGTTCTACTTTTGCAGTGCCATCTAACCCACAGCCCTAGCAAGCATGCTCACTTTGTATTTGTTCTCCAATTTGGCAGGGGTAGGAATGTGGCCTCTCCTCCGGAAGGTTGTAAAGTGCTTGCACTGAGGACATGGCTTGGTGCTGGAGTCAATGCGGCTGAGTTCCAGGAAATATTTATACTTGATGATGTCATCATGGGGCAGGTTATAGAGGACAGTTGTTTCATCCAGGTGTTCGCTGCACTCTGTGATAGGGCATTTTATATCCACTTGTCCCAGCTGCACCTGCATATGAAAGAAAACCCGTAAGAGCTGTATGACCTTTTGCCTGGAAAAGTTAAGCAAGCATTCGTGAATTCTGTGAGCAAAAATAATTTCAAGTACTGTAACAGCCCACAGACTATCAAGCATATTTCCTTAAAATTATTTTGACTTACATCAAGCACACTGCAATTTTTCTAGAGAGTATTTTCGAATCTAAACAGGAAAGCTAATTACCCTTATGACATTGGCAGGTATTAAACATACAGTCTAACTAGTACATACCATGGCTACACACGCCACAAAACCAAAACACAAGTCCTAACTGGCAGAGTCCATCCAGGCCTCCGTACTTTGGGTGTAATGCTCAGAGCTCATATAGGCTGTGAGAAAGCAGGCAGTGGATACTGTTTCACTGCAAAATGAGCTGGGAATTAAAGCATAGAGGAATTAAAAGTCAATTTAAGATCAGAGTCTAGCAGCTCTAACTCAGTGCTAGCCCTGAGCTGGTTCCTGCTGAGCACGCTCAGTGCCTGTGCAGTCTGCTTCCAAGAAGCTCCTTACATGCCATACTGCAAGTGCAGAAACTTTTAGCTGAGCCTGAGGCTGACCAAGCTAATAAATTTCCCCAGACCTCAGAGTCAATTTTAAAACACACACCTCCACCCCAACCCCAACCAAGAACAACAAAAAAAACAACATAAAAGAAAACAATAAAAACTGAACTAAAACCAGGCACAGAAATAAGCTTGAGGTTAACAGGGCAGAAACTTTTGTTGATCTAATAAGCCCTGATGGTCCCAAGCTGATCCATATGGTCAGATATCCGCAATGTGTTTCCAGAGCTCCTGGATCCAAGAAGCGCACTGGACCCAGATCTGCACCCTTCATGCTTGGCAGGCTTTAACAGCTTGGACTCCATGCCAAAACAGCAGATCCTACTTGGTCTGGGCACACAAGAGTTGCATTTGCTTGGCAGTGAGCCAAAGTTAATGAACCCTGCTGGATCTTGAGAGTCTCCAAGGACCCAGCTAGAACATGTTTGTGTCTGTCCCAAGTAATCTTGAGTGAGTGAGTTTTGACTGTACAAGTGGAGCTGACCACTAGCCAACTCCTTCATCACTGAGTATCTCCATGCAGAGAAAAATGAGTGCAACCAGCACGTCTTTTCAGGAATTAGTGTTTCAAGGTTGGCAAGTTTGATTTCCCTAGACTGCTTATTCTTTAGCATACTCCATTAGAGGAACCTGCCAAACAACACTCTAAATAAAATGGGAACACCTCAAATTTGGACACAGATCTTGCTGCTGCACAGTGGTACCAGAAGACACAAAGACTCTATTAATGAAGTATTTAAGCTAAAGGACAGAAAAACCCTGAAAAGCAACACAACACTGTCATTGCTGCCTCAGCAGCTGAATGATAATTTAGTCAGGAGCCAGAGGATTAGAAGAGTCATAACACCATGGTATCAAACCCGTATTTCATACTGATTTCAAAAAAATCCCTGTTGCACTACCTCTATTCTCTCAGCAATGTAGCTAAAACTACAGAGAATAAAGAGATTAGGTATATGTTAGATAAAGAAAAGCAGGGTGTGCATGGTGGCAACTGTCTCAGACCAGTGAATGATGGAGAACACCTCAGCCAGCCATTGCTGCCATGATGCCCTGAGCACCCTCCGCTCAGGGTGCAGGCAGGTCAGAATGGAGGCAGATCTGTCTGCAGTATGGAGAGACAGCTCTCCCAGCAATACACCCACTTTTAGGAAGGGACTTCCTTAAATTTCATTTTCAGCTCTAAAAAGTGAGCAGAGCTCAGCCACATCCAAAGAAGGCTAGAGTCAGTTTGGCTTTTACATGGACAAGTTTAAGTAGAGAAGGAGGATGTACTCAAAGGTATGAAAAAAACCCCAAACATAAGAAATCCCCAAAACTACACTAATTGCATGCTGGGGAATGTCCACATTTTGTACCTGTAGGATACTAATTCAACTGTAGCAGCATTTAAAAATTGAAATCAAGTATATGGCACCACAAGAGTGACTCTTCTTGGAAGAATGACCCTGTACATCATGAAGCTGTACTTAAAAAGCAGATGACAATCAATGCAGCACTATAGCACTCAAACACAATAAACTAAGAAAACAATTTGCTACAGAAATATAAAAAGCCATTGCACTAGGATTAGTATACGCTTTTTTAAGAGAAATATAGGTACAACACTTTAAAACCAAATAATCAAAATAATTCCACCTACAACTACTTCATGGCTTTGGTGGTTTTTTTTGGTTGGTTGGTTTTTTTGTTGTTGTTGTGGTGGTTTTTTTGTTTTGTTTTTGTTTTTTGGGTTTTTTTAAGCATTAGGGAGATTTTAAAAGAGGCACATCCTTTTTCTAAGAGTAAACTAAGCTACTTCATAATGAGAATGTACATTGTATCTGACATCGAAGCTGGTACTTAAACATTGCTTATATTAAATGCTAGTTGGAACAAACCTGCATTTATAAAAGTGAAGGAATACAAAGCTCAACACTTTGTGTATTTCATGCCCACACAGAATACGATTAATATATGTGGTAAAAGTCATGTGTGGTTTCAGTGTTTATCTTGAAAACCTGTTTTACACCCATTTGAAACAAATAATTTTTAACTTCTAATAGTTTCAGCTTTTCAAGTTTGGCAGAGATTGATCCTTTTCCCGTGCTTTGAATGGGACTGAAGTGAACAGAGCTTATTAGCAGTAACTTCAATGGAGCTTTGTCCTACCGTAAGAGTCCATCTTTGTGCACTAGCATCAGCAATTGATGGTAGTACAGCTTTAGAGATAGCCTATTAGGCTACCTGCTGCCACAGACTCAGGAGGTGCTACAGAATGAGAAAGAAAAAACAAGACAAAAAATCTCTTATGAGTAAAAATATCTTTTTTTTATTATTATTTTCCTTCATTTTCTTTTTGTTTTGAAGAGCCTTATCCCCTCAATATCTGCTTCTCACAATGTCAAATCCTCAAGTTTTAAGAATACCACTGTGTATTAAGGACCTCAGAACTCTCAATGTACACAATAGCATAGTGTATTTTCACAGCATGAGGAAGGACTCACATGTCTAAAAGCAGTTAAGCTGCAGTTTGGTGCTAAACGCCAGGCAGCATCCAGCTCTTATGCTCAGCTGAGCTTCTGTAAAGCATTTCAGCAGGGGCTAGCTCTGGTTACAATTCATAAGGAGAAAGCAGGCTCTAGCACATTTCATCCTACAGAAAGGTAATGTTTAAACTATCGAGAGAGCAGTATGTACCTCTCTCTGCCAATTCTTTTCTTTTCTTTTAAAGCTGTTTTTTGGGCAGTTAGGGGTGAAGGGGGGGAGCCCTGACAGGGAGGAACAGGGACAGGACACACACAGACTCTACACCGATACACTTAGTGCCCCAAAAAGCAGCAACACCAGCAACAGAAAACAATACCAGATGGCATGATAGCTGAAGTCAGAAAATTATTTCCACCTCCTGAGCTTTCTTTTAAAGGAAATCTTTGTTAGCTACACAGCAAGCAAAGTTCAAACCAGACTGGAGAAGTACTGATTTATACCTGTCATTTAGCCTGGCTCAAGCTGAACGTAAAGTAACCTTTGCAGGCTGTACTTGGTTAGCTGTATTACAGCTATATTCCTTAAAGAAGGGGCCATTCTACTTTAAAATAGACACATACAAAGAAATATTTTCTAACTGAAACTCTACTCTTAGTTCAGAGTATATGTATATGCTAAATTCCTCTTCTTACCTACTAATGCTGACAGTGAATATTGCTGTATGTCATATGCACTTCTGTAGAGAAATTTAATGTCTACCAGTACACCAAATTATACCCAAATTATACAAATATAATATATATATTATTATACAAATAATATATATATATTATTATTATTATACCAATAATATATATATTATTATTATTATACCCTGTAAATTACCAAGGAAATTATGCATACAAAAATATTTTTTGGAAATGCACAAATGCAAGTGAAGGGACAACATAGTCTACAAGACTTTCATGTTCTACTGGTAAAAAAGCCAACTGGATTAAAATTCCCTTTATTTATAAGCAAAGTCCTATTCCTTTCTAGTTCACTGGAAACATCTTTCATTTTTGTTGATAAGTTCCAAATCAGTGAAGAATTATTTTCTTGTAGGTTTGGGAAGTGTGTAATTTTGAATTTATTTTCTTAAAAAAAAAAAAATTCATGGAAAGTACTTGAAGGACTTACCACGGTTCAGGACTCCACAGTGGTAGGTGCTAACCAAATGAAATCCAAGTAGACGTGATTCAAGAAGTGCCAACCAAAGAATATACAAATTTTTACTACACATTTTACACCTGCCTTTAAGGTTATGGTTCTGTGACCATGTTTGTGGTTTGAGTATTAACTTCATCAGTCTGGATCTCCGATTTTTCCCCTTTAATTAAATTTAATTAATTTCTCAGCAGATTTACAATAAATTACTTTCTGAATCCCTTTCTTATTAACTTGCTACACCATATTCTCTGACAATCATCACCTGTAACCTCACTCCAGTTAAGAATCATCACTCCTCTCCTCAGAAGGGAAGGGGGAAGGGCTTTGCTAGCTTTATTGGGCATGTATCACTGACCTCAAAAGGATCCAGGAGGAGTTCAAAATAGTGTATTTGAGTTGTATTTAAAATGGTCATTTATTATTAATAAAAGTTGAACCAGAGACTTTTGCTAAAAAAAATTCCTGTTGTGTCACAAGCTCACGTCAACTACCTTGAAAGGATCCATCAAGGCTGTTCCCCTTCAAATGTCCTGTAAGTAGTCTTTGTTCTCTTTTCACAAGTACTACACATCTGGATGAAGCCATGACAATGACATGATGGTTCCTGATCCATGTGACATTCAGAGAGAGTCAATTAGGCTCTAACACTGAGCAGACTTGAGCAGACACCACCTCTTCTACTTTTGACAATAATTTGTTTTTAATGAGCTCTGCATTCATTATCACACT